AATTTTTGAATTAAGTTTGTATTCAAAATGTTTCAGTCCAAAAATATATCATTTTCCCACTGGACGCTTCAAATTTATTTGAAATGAAAATTTTCCATTTTAAATGGAAATTTCAAATCAAAATGAAAATGTTTAAAAATTTCCCAGGGAACAACTTAAAAAATTAAGTTATGAATTAACATTTTCCACATGAAAATTTTCAGTTCCAGCAATAACACATTTTTCAGTGATAAAATTTTCCATATGAAAAATTTCATCCAGCTCTACTGCTGAGGTTATCACTGGTAATGAAACAGATAAAAAAGGACAAGTGTTGGACAAGAAAATAATAATAATAATCACTGTGTCAATACTATAGGTTTAATTTTAAAGATGCAACAAAGACAATCCTTAAGCAAAGAATTAATGATGCCTGTGATTTGAAGTGACAATTCTGTTAGTTCCTTTTGGTCACTTTGTAAAGTATCACTTCACCAAAGTCAATAAGAAATATTAAAAAAGTAAGATCAAGTATAAAAGATAATTAAAACAATGCGTTTATCTCAGATGTTTCACTATTGATCTCAAATGGTCAACATACCTGGGAATTTTAGCCATATAGTCCAGGTCAGCCCCCTCTATTTTCAGTTCTTTGCAACGTACATATTCTCCCAGTGTGATGAAAAGGAATTTTTGCAACATGCATGGGGCCCTCCTTTCAGTGTGAACTCCGATCTCTTACAGTCAATGCAGTAGCTGAGACTCATTATTTTAATCTGTGCACTACATTTTCAGTTTAGGAAAATGGTTGATTTCATTGACTCCGTCTGGCAAGTTGCTTGTCATTTTAATAGTTACTAGTTCCAAATTTCCCCAAGCCTGGAGCATGTCTGAATTCATCTGCCTCAATGGCATACCTAACAAGAGAAATTTAAAAAAATATGTAGTTTAATGAACTACCTAGTTATATCTCCATGGTTAGTATAATGTATATATAAAACAGAATGCCTAGAAAACAGTCTCCTTAAGGTTATTAACCTTTTGTTTGGAATTGTTTTTTTCCATTAGTTATTCCTCTGTAATCATCTGTAATGTTTTTTTCCAGTAAACTACAAAAATGTTAGATTTAGGTGAGGCCTGAATTCTCCCATTCCAAGAACCAAAAATGCAAGACATTCTCAAAGTGCAGAGCTTCCTGATGGAAGTAGGGTTCGGCTGTGGCACCATCCTCCCCTCCTCTGAACCTCATGGAAGGCATTCCCCAGATTCTGAGTATATGCTGAGGGAGAGGCTGGAGACTGACTGGAGCATCCCATTGCCCAGCCTGCACAGATAGCACAGTCCCAGTGCAGTTCCCCCTCCCTGGGTGCTCTAGGGACAGCTACAGAAGCATGTATTAGTACTATTATTACAATTAACAATAACTATAATGATATTATTATTATTTGAGGTAAACAGTTTTTAATTGCCATTTTAAACTATTTTTAGATCAGCTCTAGTGCTTACAGTTGCCTCTCAGATACCCCACTCACTGTTACAACTGCACATTCTAATAGATTAAGCAGAAAAAACAGACTTTGAAATGTACCAATATAGGGAAAATTCCATCTTTGTGTAGGTGTATTTCTCCTACTGATTTTCAAGAGAAGAAATGGACCGTTATTCATTCTGTGTGCATATTAGCATTGATTTAGAGCAAAGAAATATTATTTTTAACCGGCAAATACACAAGAAAAAAATACAGAAACAGAAAAAAGTAATAGAAAGAGATACAGTTTTCATGAACAACTTTTGTAAAACTACATCATGTCCCAGGTACACTATTTTACAGAACAGTAATTTGTTTCTGTAACCTGCACGCTTTATTGGCAAGCTGTTGATCTATGCAGTTGTAAATATGACAGCATCCTACAATGATATGTGCCTCAGAACCTAAAAATCAGGTCTTGCCTTCACACTGCAAACGTTTAACCCCTCTTCCTCTCACCCCATCCAAGAGTAGCTTAAACAAATCAGTCACACAAATATTTAGGGTGAAATGGAGCTTCATAAAACAAATGTTTGCAAGAACGTAAATGGCGTATTAACTTTTTTTATCCCATATTTCATTGTTTTTGTTTTACAAATATTCTCTGTATCAGTTTACCTAAGATTAATATATTTGGGAAATTGCAGTGTGTGTCTGTAATTAACTTACATACAAATTGCACATATTTCACTGCCTTCATTAACTTCACAGCCATATGTGTCTTTGAGATTACTAATTAGGGGAGTTAATGGGCAGTTTATTGCAATTTACGATCTGCCTTTTAAATTTTTTTAGTCATCCCCACCATATTCTATGCCAAAGAAGCAGCTTTTGTTTCGTGTGCATTGACACAGTCTCCTCCTCCAGAATGGAGAAATCAGTGATGTTTCAGATATCAGAAAAGCTCTAGAATTGTTTTTCTCCCAAAGATTTGGTGATATAAAACATAATTCAATTTTGTAAAGTAGTCCTCACTTTATTTAAAACTACTGGCAGCTTCACTAACAAATATTTAATTTCAAAACAAATACTTGTCTCATAAAGTTGTGTGTTATGAAGAAAACTATGCAAGATAATTTCCCTTAAGCCAGTTTTGCTTACAATATTCGGCCACTAACAATGAAAGAAGCAAGAGTGTTTTCATTTTCTGCAGTAACAACATAAAAGGACTCCACATTTTAGTGAACCTTCAGGGTAAAAATGCATATCAGAGGTTCTGCAAACTTATGGTTAGATTGTGGATTTACCACTAGCCCTGAGTAAGGGGTAATATATATATTTGTACTGCCCCAGGAGCAGACGAGAGACCAAATTGCAAATCCCTTCTATACAGAGTCATTCTCACTCTCTCTGGCCCAATTAATATTTAACTATTTAATGAAAGTGGAACAGCTTCAACAAAAAAGATTGAATGAGTCCCACATCAAAGTATCCTATAACAGACTCACTTGAGAGGTGGGGAATCCATGTTCAAATAGGTTCTCTTAGTGAAGCAGAGGGGTGGAACTGAACTGGCTGAGTATCCTAACCACTGGGCTAAATATTGTAAGAGAAGCTAATGCCTCTTCCTTCCCCACCATTCTGTGTGCAGGCCTTTCAGTCAAGATAAGTTGGGGAAGACTTGGTTTGAGGATTACTTGCTTGAGGCAGCAGCACATATACCCAGTGGCAGAAACTTAGCCAGCTAGAGAACTTTTACAATGAAAATGTAGGAGCTGAGTGAGTTTAGGTGCCTACAGGGTTATTTGGCAGCTGAAAAGGGGTTTTATGGATGGCAATGGCACCTAAATCTGAGACTTGGGCACCTAATTCCCTGTGTGTGGACCTGAGCCTACAGGAATAAACACTTAGATACAGAAACTGGTGGCTGCCTAAGGACTGAGGACTTGTAACATGAGGACCCTTTTGTTTCCTGGTCATTAGGTTAAATGCAGCCAAGATCAGCAAGATGAGTCTGGTCAATGGCCAAAGTGGTGGTCTTAGTCTATTTCCCAGTGGATGGGTGTTCACAGCACAAAACCAGCCCCCCAAAAAAGGACAAATTGCCACCCTTGTTGGCAGTCTCAACAAATAAGCCATGGACTGAGTGGACCTGGAAACTCTACTTTGCCACTTCTAGAGGTGATCCTTCCAGCTCAGGACTGAGGAACACTAGTAATGTGGCATAAAAATAATGCCTTCCTTGCCCTACCTGGACAATCCATAAGTAGTGGACTTTGGTCAAATATATCACTTTAGAATACAGGGATGTCAAGCCAGTACCTTCAATCCTTTTTGTTAAAAAAAAAAAATTCAACATCACAAAACACCAGATATTCTCTCTCCATGCACACAAAGAGAATAAGAGATATACAACATTGTAGAACATTGTAAACCTCCTGAACACACTTATGCTCATGATCTCTAGCTGGCTATCAGTGATGTTGGTAGATCAATACAAGATTTAAGCAGTTTTTTTAAGAGGGATTTTTGGCACTCATGCTCCAAAAGAGATAGAGCTGTTGCAGCTTTAGGCTTTCATCAAACGTAAATTGTAAGCTTTGGTACACAGAAGGTTAATGTTCTACAGCTTAGCCCTGGAGCAATGTATGAAAATATATAATCAGAGACTTCAGGAAACCCATCAGAGCCCTGCATGTACATTTTTCACTTCACCAACTACTCTGGTGGTAGCCAGTAGATCTAATTTCAGCAAGTTTGTGTTCCTGACAGCAGTCACATCAAATTACAGAATCTTCCAGACTTAGTTGGCACCTTCATCTCGGCCTTTCTATCAAATAATATGCCTATTGCCTTCATCATGCAATCCTTAATTATCTGAAAATCAGCAGACTGTTGCTTGTGCCAGCAAAGGAAATGAGGAAAGAACAGTATTCTTTCCAATGCACATGGCTGGACACCCTTCAGAAACATCTGATTTGATTGCCAGTAACAATATTCCATTGATGCTCATTTTTACATCTATGGCTTCAGGCTCTTTTCCTAAAGAATTAACTTATGCATGCACATATTAAAATCTGGATGATTTTTTTCTGTAACAGAGGTGCTGTGATTTTTATTTCCAGTTTTCAGATTGATGATGCTTGGTGGATGAGTATTATGTATCCCTAGTGGCAGTCTACGGTGCATAGGAAAGGTGAAGAGGAGAGGGTGAAGGTTGCTTACCAAAGAAGGATTTTGTGCATAAATCTCATGGAGGTTCACACAATATTTTATTCCAATCCAAGACAAAGGTGTTCTAATTCTCTGAATCAAATGTAAGCGCCAAAGGAGATCAAGGTCAATGTAGCAAACTAGGCAATCCATCAACAACCTAATTACATTCTATTGACCCAGAGGGAATTTTAGAAGCAGCACTGCTATCTGTGGATGTTGGAACAGCATCTATCAATCTCTGGCCTCTGGATCTTGTCATTACCTGACATCCCCACTGCTAAAACCACTCCATGGGAACCTTCACCTCATTTTGGTTAACTAGAATTATTCAGACTGAATGTCAGTATCTAACCTGAACTGCTCTGGGCTAAATTTTAGCTGGTTGTATTATATAGGGGGGTTTAATACTCTACCTTCACTTAAAAATAAAAAAAAGGTTTCCTTTGAAATAGGTCTGTAGCACTTGCCCATTCATTGTACTGCCTTGCAGGAAAGCTCGACAGAGGAAAGACCTGAGGACTCCTCTCTGTCCTGGTATTACAAAACAAAATAAGCAAGTAGTCAAGGGAGTAAAAATAAAAAGAATAAAAATGGAAAAATATGAATAAAAACTTTTCTGTTGCTATATAGGATATCTGTTCTCTGGCACTCCAGGGGTATTTTTTATCAGTTTGTTGGCCATTCAGATTGTAAGTTCTTTGGGGCAGGGACCTCGCTTATGACTTTCTGTAAAGCACATAGAATACTTTTAGGTGCTATATGAATAATAAATAAGTAACCACATTTATATTCATGGTTTGTCTTGTGAGAGATGTGTTTTGGGAATGCCCCCCACTCCCAGGTCAGTTCTTAAAGGCTACATACCTATATGGCTAGGACAGCACAAGAGGGGAAAACTCAGAAATATATTGGTGTGGGGGAAAGAACTGTCAATACCAGAATTGTCTTTAGCTCACAGTCTGATTTTGCAGTGGTGAAGGAAGCAGGGAATGAAAATAAATTACTATTAAAATATAAAATAAATGGCACATTAGTTCAAGTCTGAGATCTGTGATGCACTATTGCTGTGAACTTTAAAAAGCACTCAGCTGCTACACCTGTACTGAACTGTACATGATGCGTTTCTTTTTTGTTTATTGGCTAATGCCACAAATAGTCCTTCATTCCAAATCTCAGCCACATGTAGGAAAACTTATTTGTGCTGCAATTTAAATGGACTACTAAGAACAACAT